AGTTCCTTTGTATGACTTTTTCTGCTTATGTGGTGCTGAGGAATCGAACCCAGGGCCTCATGCATGTAAGGCAAGCAGTCTACCACTGAGTCACCTTCCCAGCACTGTATGAAGTACTAAATTAAAATTTCAACTTAATATTTTAGGAGACAGACACAGTGGTACATGTTCATAAACCCCTACCAGAAGGCAAGAGGATCACAAATTTGAGGCCAGACTGGGCTATTATGAGATCATGTCTTAAAATAGTACCCCCCACACACACACAGAGTCACAGGGCCTAATCTATTTAACGTAACACTTTTTTTTTTGTCAGTCATGGGGCTTGACCTTTGGGCCTGGGTGCTGTCCCTCAGCTCTTCAGCTCAAGGCTAGCACTCTACCGCTTTAGACACCAGCACCACTTCCGGTTTTCTGGTGGTTAATTGGAGATAAGAGTCTCACAAACTTTCCTGCCCCAGCTGGCTTTGAACTGTGATCCTCAGATCCCAGCCTCCTGAGTAGCTAGGATAACAGGTGTGAGCCTGCTACTTAGCACATTTATGTGTGGAGAGTTGTTTTTCCTACATATTTTCATTTTTTGTGTCAGTACTGGAGCTTGCACTCGGGGCTTTGTACTCTCACTCAGCTTTTCCATTTAAGGTTGACACTCTACCACTTGAGCCATACCTCCACTTCCACCTTTTTGGTTAATTGGTTGGCTTCAAATAACAATCCTCAGATCTCAGCCTGCTAAGTAGCTAGGATTACAGGCATGAGCCCTACATGTCCAATCCATTTCATTCTTCTAATTGGTAATTTGTATTGTCCATCTTTTCATCAGTCTTAAGTTAGCAAAGGTTTGTTTCCTAGTTTTTTCTCTATTCAGTTATTAATTTCTAATTTTACTCCCCCTCTCCCCTTTTTTTTGCCAGCATGGGGTTTGAACCCAGAGCCTTGCACTTTTGCCCAGCTTTTTCACTCACAGCTAGAGCTCTACCTCTTGAGCCATGCCTCACTTCCAGCTTTTTGCTGTTCAATTTCATTTTTTTTGTCAGTCCTTGGGCTTGAACTCAAGTCCTGGGCACTGTCCCTGAACTTCTTTTGCTCAAGGCTAGCACTCCACCACTTGAGCCACAGAACCACTTCTGCTTTTTCTGTTTATGTGGTACTGAGGGCTTCATGCATGATAGGCAAGCACTCTACCATTAAGCCACATTCCCAGCCCTTGCTGTTCAATATGAGAGACTTCTCATATTTCTCTGCCCAGGCTAGCTCCAAATTGTGATTCTCAGACCTCAGCCTCCTGAGTAGGTAGGATTACAGGCTCAAGACACTGGCACTGGGTTTCTTTCTTTTTTGCATCTTAAGATATTTTTGTCTCTGTGTGTGCTTATCTCACTATATATTCCCAAGCTGGCCTTGAACTCAACAATCCTACCTGCTAGCATTACAAATGAGAAGCACCAGGCTTGGCCAACCAGTTATTTTTATATTTGTTTTTTTATGGGGGGGGGGGATATTGTAAATGTTGAATAAAGTCTATAAAGTAGTATATTGTATTAATTTTCTGGATCAAATCATTGCTATATAATGCTAACAAAAGGGGAACTGTGTTATAAGAACTCTGTATATTATTAAATTACCAAGTTTTATACCCATAATTTACCCATCAGCAATAAGTCTCCATTATTTTGCTTCCTAGGCCCCAGACAATCATTAATTTACTTTGTCTTACTTTCTGTCTCTATTTCTGCCTATTTTGGATGTCATATACTGTAATAGAGTATTTGGCCTCTGGTGATTGAGTTCCTTCACTTAATAAGAAACATATATATATATGTATATATATATATATATATATATATATATATATTTGGCCTTTGTCCCTAGCCCTCAGCACAGAGATTTTAAACCCTGAGAACATCTAGTATGACAATAGTGGTTTTGCCATTCATTAACCAGCCCTTTCCACCAAACCTAATAAGGTGACTTTTGGTGGAGCCCCAAGACAATTTCCAGATAGTATGCAGATGCTGGGTGCTAGAGGGTCTACCCAGTGAAATGAAGTTTGAAACATTTAGACCCACCCATTTCCTCCAAAGTACAAAAAGAGGGCTGGCAACTAATTTCACTCATCAAAGGCCAATGATTTATTCAACCATACCTATGAATCAGTTCTGAAGTACAAGGGGTAACCTGAGATTTGTTTCTAGCACCTGAAGGACAGTCTGTGCTATTAGTATAGTTAGTTCTAGAAATAAGTTGCACTAAATTATAGTACTATCAAGTAATATAATAAAATTAAAGAATTGGTTGGTAAGAGGGAAAGAAAAATTCCTATTTGGTGTCAGAATTGTTGTGAACAAAAATACATCAGACTTAATGTATGGTTCTCTATGTTCATTCATTGTTAGATGTTGATTTTGTCCCTCAAAATGATAAAAAAAAAAAAAAGTACTAACTCCTAGTACCTGTAACAACCAACTTGGAAAACAAGTCCTTAAAAAAAAAAAAAGAAAACAAGTCCTTAAAGCTGATCAAATTAAATGTTTATTAGGATAGGCCCTAATCTAATTTTTCTTTTTAATCAGTGCTGGGGATTTAGATTGAGGTATTGCATATGCTAGGCAAGCACTTTACCACCTCAACTCAAGTTGTAAGAGTCCTTTAGACATTCTGGATCACTGACTACCATCAGACATATGATTTACTAATATTTTCTCCCACTGTACAGGCTGACATCTTGCACTGTGGTACTATTTAAAGCACCAAAGTTTTAAGCTTTATAAAGCAAAATTTGTTATTTTCATATCATATTTTGGGAAGGGACTGAGAATTCAGGGCCTCACATTTGAGCTATGTCCCAGACCCCTTTTTTTTTTGTTTTTGTTTTTGTTTTTTGGGGTCTGGTCGTGGGGCCTGAACTCTGGGCCTGGGCACTGTCCTTCAGCTCTTCAGCTCAAGGCTAGCGCTCTACCATTTACGCCACAGCGCCACTTCCGGCTTTTTTCTTTTTGCTTATGTGGTGCTGAGGAATCGAACCCAGGGCCTCAGGCATGCAAGGCAAGCGCTCTACCTCTGAGCCACCTTCCCAGCCCTCTGTCCCAGACCCCTTATTGTATTATATATGCAATATTTTTGCATATCTAAAATTATTTCAAAGTTTAAAAATATTGAGCGTTATATAAAAGCATAATGAAAGTTTAAAAAAATATATATGGACTAGAGGGGCTAAAAATGTGGCTTAGTAGTAGAGTGCTTGCCTAGCATGCATGAAGCCCTCTCTGGGTTGATTCCTCAGTACCACATAAACAGAAAAAGCCAAAACTGGTGCTGTAGCTCAAGTGATAGAGCTCTAGCCTTGAGCACAGAGGCTCAAGGACAGTGCCCAGGCCCTGAGTTTAAGCTCCAGGACTGGCAAAAAAAACTCTCTGGCATGTGTGTTCTCCTCCCCCGCCTCCCCCCCCCGTGTGTGTGTGTGTGTGTGTGTGTGTATGTGTGTGTGTGTGTGTGTGTGTGTACTAGGGGTGTCAGTAGCTCACATCTGTAATCCTAGCTACTCAGAGGCTGAGATCTGAGGCCAGGCAGGAAGGTCTGTGAGACCAGGCTGAGATCTGAGGCCAGGCAGGAAGGTCTGTGAGACCCTTATTTACAACTGTGTGTGTGTGTGTGTGTGTGTGTGTGTGTGTGTGTGTACTAGGGGTGTCAGTAGCTCACATCTGTAATCCTAGCTACTCAGAGGCTGAGATCTGAGACCAGGCAGGAAAGTCTGTGAGACCCTTATTTACAACTTACCACAAAAGCAGAAGTGAAGCTGAGCTCGAGTGGTAGAGCACTAGCACTGAGTGAAAAAGCTAAGGGAAAGCGCCCAGGCTGAGTTCAAGCCCTGGTACCAGCAAAAGAAAAACAACAACAAAACAAAATAAAAAATTATGTGTTGCCATTCTCCCTACCACAGGTCCTCAGCCACTCCCACAACCTTTCCTGGGGTAGCTGGTAGCCCCCAGGTCCACCCAGACCTAAGCTCTTCCCTGCCCTAGAGTTCCTGCCAGGATAGCTGGCCACTCCTACTCTCCCCAGTCCAACCTGGGCACTTAAAGTATACCTCCTCTACCTCGAGCCCCAGAACTAGCACCTGGATAGGAGCAGAGGCCACACTTCTCCCTCTCCTGTGGGGAAGATGGCCCCACTAACAAACCTCTTTGTCATCCTCCTTCTGTGCCTATCTCTGCATGGTCCCCTGGGATGGATTCTTTCACAATGGACTAAACCAACAATTAAGCATTATCCCCACTGCTGGTCCTCAACTCCACCCAGACCTGAGCTCTACTCTGCCCTAGAGTTCCCACCATATAGCTGGCCACTCCCTCTCTTCCCCCCAGACCTACAGTGCACTTACTTTGCTTCTACCCCCAGAGCTACCCACCTGGATAGGGGCAGAGACCTTGTGCTCCCTCTTCAGGGGAAATATGGCCCCTCTAATAAACCTTATAATAACCTTTTTCCTGTGCCTGCCTGCCTCCACATGGTCCCCTGGGATGGTCATGATGGATCCTAACACCAACAGAAATGGAATTTTTTGTATCCCATTATATAGTTTTGTTTTGGTTTTTTTTGCTGGATTATTCAAATGATGCAGATTCTCTGCAAAAAACATCTCAGAAATTAGTATCATTAGTAAACTCATCCTTCAAAATAGAAGTTGTATGTATTAACTATCATCTGAGGCTAATATTATTATACAAACAGAAAAACATGTAAAAACTAAAGAGATTGGAGTCACATAAACGGCATAGGAATAAATGTCCCACAGACTAATATAGCTAGTTCGTTGGTTCGTTGGTTCACTCTTTCATTCATTCATTAGAATGAAGTCTTGCTATGTTGCCTTGGCTGTCATCCAGTGTACTACTCTCCTGACTTAGTTTTCTAAGTAGCTCAGATTACAGGTGAGAGCCATGACCTCTAAACTGGAAATATGTACTGTGAAGATATCATACCAATGGAAGGTGCTTTACCTGGGCCATTCAGAGGTTGATGCTTGAGCTGGCTGTGGAAGGTTCTTTAAGAGAAAAAAAGGAGAGAAGGTATACAAGAGTAGAAAGAATGTGGATGGTGCAATAATACAAATCCTTGTCAACAGGGCTGGAGGTTAGACAATATTTCTCCTATAGGTCCTACAGCTTCTTTGAAGTTTTGGAAAAGAATACAACTTGATAAGATCTACATTTTACAGCACTGTTTGTTAAGCATTGTGAAGCACAGATTAGGGGGATGGGAGACTGGGTGTCAGGGGACTGGCTGGGGAACCACAGAAATGTCTTCAATTTATTGCATATCCTATCACACCTGTAGACAACCACATGCTCTGGCCAGCAATCCCCGACTACACCTTTGATCCTAGAGTAACTGCATTAATATCCATTTTCATGCTCCTAAGTGTCCGTCTGCAGAAACAAAACACATCACTACTATCATCCACGAACATAAACAGAACTTCCACAATGCTTACCTTTACTGAGAGATAGCACTAATATTGTATGCTTTATTGTATCATTTTTGTAACATATTGGCTGCAACCGATTAAATCTTATTTCTTAACATACTAACTAATTCATAACCCCTGGCTGAAAAACCTCAATTAAAGATATCGTTAAGGTTTGGGGCAAAAGAGGAGAGAGAATAACTCTGGGACACGCAGATTTTAGGCTGTGGTTCTCAATCTTGGCACTGCATCAAAACCACATGAAGTATTACCAAAAGCGCAGCTGTTCGGCCCCGGTGCGTACTTTTAGGCATGCTTATTACGTTCATCCATGCGGAAACAGAAAACGTTCAGAAGTCTATGGATACTTACTGGGCTGAAACCCACTACATTCAGGAGTTTTGTGACAGCCTGGGGAGCAGCCAAGGTGGGAAGAGGGAACCAATCGTATGGCACCTCGCGGGTATCCGGTAATGTCACTTGTACCCTGGCCCTCGCCAAGCAGAGGCCAGGGCCACAGAGCCAGGCGCGGGAAGTCAGATACCGAGGAGAACCGGCCCTTAACTGCGCAGGGACCCGCCGCGCGCAGGGACCTTCCCAGAGTGCCTCGCGGCGCGCACGCGCACACCGCAGCTCCCGGCGTGCAACGCCGCGGCCGAGCCGGCAGCGGGCCGCCTCGGGCAGCCCCGCCGGGCCTCCGGGTCCATAGCTGCGGGGACCATGGCGCTGAAGCGGATCCAGAAGGTAAGGGACCTTCCCAGGCATCACGTCTTAGGTGTGGGTGGGTACCTCTGCTACGAAGTGGCGAGTGGAGTGGCCGTAGTGCCTGAGAGGGAGGCGGAACCGCCGCCAGCGATGCCTTAAAAGGGACTGGCGCGTGCGTGGGGCGGCCCGGCTCACTGGGGCGGCGTCACGTGCCAAGTCACGTGAGGGCGCTGTGGGGCGGGGGTTGCGTGGGTCCTGCCCTGGCTGTGAAACTGAACCACAGCCGGGGACCGAGTGGGAAGGAGCGACGTGGGTCCCCGGAGCACTCACACGCTATCCAAATGGGAATTTGGAACATGCGCTTCAATAGAAAACAAAGTATTTCCAGTTCTGATTCCTTACCATTTGTTGCGTTTTAGGTATCTTCTACGTACAAAAGCATTATGGTGTGTTTTGTGCTCTGTGTTTCCTTCAGCCAGCATTAAACGTACAGTTTGCTACTATGAAGTAGCATTTATGACCCTCTTTATTTCTGTTAACGTACAGTAGTTATACATAGGCGGGAGTTTCATTATGACATTTCCATGTTTATATACTATGTATCCTAATCAACCTCACTTCCTCCATCACTCTCTTTTATCTTCCTCCCCACTTAAAACAAGTGTAACAAAAAAAAAAACAATTGTAACAAGTATCATTATTTTCTTTTCGTACATGCAACTAAACTAATTGGATCACATTCACCCTCTTCCTCAACACCTCCCACCCCCTGCTGGTACCTATTTTATTCTAAAAGTTATTTCAGTAAAGATGGTGTTAAAATATTTAAGTTAAAAGCCGGGCGCCGGTGGCTCACGCCTGTTATCCTAGCGTCTCAGGAAGCTGAGATCTGAGGAACACGGTTCAAAGGCCAGCCCCAGCAGGAAAATCCGTGAGACTCTTATTTCCAATTAACCATCAGAAAACCGGAAGTGGAGCTGTGGCTCAAGTGGTAGAGTGCTTGCCTTGAGCTGAAGAGCTGAGGGACAGTGACCATGCCCCGAGTTAAGCTCCAAGACCGACCAAAAAATAAATAAGTAAAATTAAAGTTTAGACTTAAGGAAAGCAAATAGTATTAGTGCCATTGCCAGAATATTTCTGTTCTTAGTTGTGCATAAAATGAAATTGTATTTTACCAATAGATGGCATTTTGGATTTTTGGCGAATTGTGGGTTTTTTTTTGTTGTTGTTGTTGTTGTTTTTCGCGAATTGTGTTTTTATCATGGTCGTCTTATCTCTTTTCATCTAGTAATACTTTATCCTTTAACCTTAGTTCCTGTTCTGTGAATTTGCACTTTCATCATAATTTGTAACAGTGATCATTACACAGCCCTAACCTAGCTAGCACTGTACAAATAGTAAAGGATTTATATGTTTAGGTTATAAATTCCTATGATTCAATATTCTAAAGAGTATTCAGGGAAAGTCCTTCCACACACATCTGTTCGCAGCCATCCAGTTCCTCTCCCTGAGGGCAACCAGTGTTATTAGGTTTTACATATTCTTCTAGAAATATATACCATCTTTTCCTCTGGGCTTGGCAACAGTTTGTAATCCCAATATTTAGGAGACTATAGCAGTAGGATCAAAAGCTCAAGGCCAGCCAGAGCTGCTCATTCCTCCTACCTATTTATAGTGCTAACAGTATCTATCTGTGCACTGGTGTATGGAGCTATACATTTACTAGGTACTCTTGTGTATATGTTATTTTAGAAATCCATAGCCCCACGGTTGTGTTGGCAAGTGTACATAAACTGAACAGAATCAATAGCCAGGCGCCGGTGGCTCACGCCTGTAATCCTAGCTACTCAGGAGGCTGAGATCTGAGGATCCCGGTTCAAAGCCAGCCCGGGCAGGAGAGACCGTGAGACTCCTATCTCCAATAAACCACCAGAAAACCGGAAGTGGCGCTGTAGCTCAAGTGGTAGAGCGCTCGCCTTGAGCTGAAGAGCTGAGGGACAGCGCCCAGGCCCAGAGTTCAAGCCCCACGGCCGACCAAAAAAATAAAAATAAAAAAAAATAAAAACTGAACAGAATCAAAGGTCCAAAGAGGCAACAGTACTGGAGCTGGGGCTCAGACCAAGTCTTTTAGTACTCTTAGGTGAACTCAGAAATGTGATATGTGAGTTTCTTTTTTTTGGGGGGGAGGGGTCCAGTTGTGGGGCCTGAACTCTGGGTCTGAGCACTGTCCCTCAGCTCTTCAGCTCAAGGCTAGTGCCCTACCACTTGAGCCACAGCACCACTTCCAGCTTTTTTCTTTTTGCTTATGTGGTGCTGAGGAATCAAACCCAGGGCCTCAGGCATGCAAGGCAAGCGCTCTACCACTGAGCCAACTTCCAAGCCCCTGTGAGTTTCTTCTGAGTCATTCACAGTGTTTCTCCTTATTCCTCAAGAATGGTTGCCATCTATGCATAGGGACTCACTTCTGGCCTGCCAGAAATCAATTTATTCTATTAAGTGCTCATCAGGCCCAAAAAGAGGGACGTGGATTCTGAAACAATCAGAGTGTGGAGGTGTAGAAAACCTCAAGCTGGTGGAGAATTGGCTTTTCCTGCTCCTGATTGTGTATATGGTCTTTCCACGATTTGTCTTAGTAGTCCTATGAAAGTGCTCCATCATTCATGCAGCACCAAAGGGATATAAACCCCTCCCTGCAGAGTGCTAATGGAGTCACTGAAAGCACAGCACAGAGATGGAAGCAGAAAGTGAGTGTTCTGCAGAGGTTCTGGGGCTCTTGCATTTCTGATCAGGTCCTCAAATCCTCGTGCACAATCTCAGTTTTTCCTCAAGTTCTCTTTTACTCTAACAAAAACTAATGCTGCTTACTGATTGCTTGCTAAGCATAATGAATTATACATTCCCTCCCCCCTTTTTCATGCTAGGGATGTAATCCAGGGCCTTGTTTACAATAGATAAATGCTCTACTACTGAATTATGTCCTCAGTCCTCTAATTTACATGTGAGGAAACAGGTTCAGCTATATTAGCTATTGGTGGAAAACTGACCAGTGGGTACTGGTAGAAATCAACTTTTGAAGAGAAATGGTCCTGATAGGTAGTATTTTGTCTGCCTCTGTGGTATTAATACACTTATGGACCATTAAATTTAAGCAGAAGTAGGATAAATATAGCATGGCCATAGAATGGGGGGTTATAGGAATGGTCACAGACCAAAGACATTGTGGTGCAGAAAGGCCATTGTGGATGAGATTTAGGCTTAAGTGTGGACTGTGCACATCTACCAGATCCTAGGTTTGTCACACCTTGAGGAATTTTCCTGACACAAGACTTGTTTGTACCTCTTTCTCTGCTTTTAGAACCTCTATGCAAAGGAACCTGCGAAGAATAGAGAGTGTTAGGAAACATCTTTTTTTTGGTTGGTTGTGGGGCTTGAACTCTGGGCCTGGGCGCTGTCCCTCAGATCTTCAGCTTAAGGCTAGTGCTCTACCATGTGAGCCACAGTGCCACTTCCAGCTTTTTCTGCTTATGTGGTGCTAATGAATCGGACCCAGAGCCTCATGCATGCGAGGCAAGCACTCTACCACTGAGCCACCTTCCCAGCCCCAGGGAACATCTTACATGCAAACTGATGTCTGAGAGTCCCTACCTAAGCTCTTGGGGCTTTAGGCTTACATTAGACCAGTGTCCCTTTTCAGAATGCTGTCATGAGGATATGGTTTGGACTACATAGTTATTCTCCTGAGCATTTCATAAAGTGTTAATGGCTGTTCCCTGGGGGGAAAAATTTTTTTGGTTGATAGTGAGTCTTGAACTCTGGGCCTGGGTGATGCCCCTCAGCTCAAGGTTAGCACTCTACCACTTGAACCACAGCACCACTTTCAGTTTTCTAGTTGTTAATTGGAGGTAAGAGTCTCACAGACTTTCTTGCCCAGGCTGGCTCTGAACCAAGATCCTCAGATCTCAGCTTCCTGAGTAGCTAGGATTACAGGCATGAGACACCATGCCCAGCCTGGAAAACATTTTTTAATGTCCATATTGGATCTGTCAGCCCTTAATGCATTGTGAATGCAACTATAATAATAATAATATAAAATTCACATTTGCAATCCATTCCAGCTATTGGAGCATTAATTCATAAATTCCCAGAGAGCCTGGACTATGGCCTGATTTCTTCACTCTTCTGTCCTCAGATCCTGGCACATTACTGCCCAGTACTGATAGAGTATAATGTAAAGACGTTATTTGTTTGTTTTTTGTTCTCAGATTATTTGTATTAAATGTGATAGAAATCCAACTTAAATATATGTAAGAATAAAAAGAATGCTCATGACCAGAGAGTTAGCGGCCCATAAAGGGACTCTTGTTATGATTTAATGTCTGATACATGTTAGGCTTTGGCTTGCATATCCATGGTCTATATCTTCAGAGGACTGGGACTTACCAAGTGCCCATTAATAAGGAGTGCTTTGGAATTGGGGGCAAAGGGTAAGAGAAAAGAAACCCGTGTTTTTTAATTAAAAAACATATTATTAATTGCGTACTTCCTCTGTGCCAAATGCTTCCACGCACTAATCCATTCACCTAGAACGAGTGCTGGCCCTTGTCCTTTCAGAAGCTCTCTGGGGATTCTTATCCTAAGTTCATGAGAGAAGAGTATCCTTCATCTGATTAGGCTTGGAGGGTGAGGGAAATGACTCAGTGTAACTGACTGACTCCTTGCCTTGCCTTGCCTTGGTCCAGCTCTTAGCCTTGCATGGGTAACCTTGCTATTTTAAATTTTGATTTCCTAATTTATATATAAAGTGGAAATGATACATCTACTTTCGTGGGTCTTCACGCTGCCAGTAAACTCTACTAGTCTTATTTTGAACCACTTCTGAAGCCTCCCACCGGAGAGCGGCTAGGAAAACTGTTGTATAGAGGCAATGCTCAGGCTTACTAGTCTAACCCAATGCCTGGTGTTCTAGGAACTGACCGACTTGCAGAGGGATCCTCCTGCCCAGTGTTCTGCAGGACCTGTGGGTGATGATTGTAAGTATTTTTCTGATTGCAGGAGCTATGTGACTAAAATCTCCAAATGCATCAAGTTAGCAGACCTTCAAACATACATTATGCCACATTTTTGCCTTTTTGTTGTTGTTATTGGTCCTGGGGTTTGAACTGAACTCTACCATTTGAGCCAGGCCTCCAGCCTTTAAGCTGTTGGGGTTTGTTTTGTATGTTTTTTTTGTTTTGTTTTGTTTTTTGTTTTGGTACTAGACCTGGGGCTTGAACTCAGCCTAGGTGCTGTCCCTGAGCTTTTTTGCTCCAGGCTAGTGCTCTACCATTTGGGCCATACATCCATTTCCAGCTTTTAGGGGTTTTTGGCAGTTAATTGGAGATAAGAGTCTCACAGATTTTCCAGCCTGGGCTGGCTTTGAACCAAGATCTTCAGATCTTAGCCTCCTGAGTAGCTAGGATTACAAATATTAGCTACCAGTTCCTGGTTTAAGCTACTGTTTTTAAGAGAACTAGTGAATTGTTTCTCTTTCATATGTTCATGAATTTTTTTGTGTGTATATATATATGTGTGTGTGTGTATATATATATATATATATATATGTATATTTTTTTATTTTATTTATTTATTTTTTTTGTTAGTCACAGGGCTTGAACTCGAGGCCTGGCCAGTGTTCCCAAGCTCTTTCACTCAAGGCTAGCACTCTACCACTTTAAGCCACAGAGCCACTTCTGATTTTCTGATGGTTAATTGGAGGTAAAAGTCTCAGATTTTCCTGCTTGGGATGGCTTTGAGCTGCTTGGCCTCCTGAGTAGTTAGTATTACAGGCATGAACCACTGGCTCCAGCTGAATTTCTTTATTTTATTTATTTATTTATGTTTTTTGAGATAGAATCTTGCTCTGTAGCCCAGACTGGCCTGGCACTCATAATCCTCCTGTCCCAACTTCCTGAGTGCTGAACTATGCCACCATGCTCACCATGAATTGCTTTATTGAACATCCAGAGCTGACAATGTGGCTGGTCAGGTAATACTCAGAATGGAACCTATGCTGCCAGGAATTTCTCCTCCTTCCACTGAGTTATAAAAAATCCAATTTGGCTCCTATCCTGACATATTTATCAAAAACACTTTTAGACAGGTGCAGTGGCTCATGCCCAAAATCCCAACTACTTGGGAGGTAGAGATTGGGAGGATCACAATTTGAGACCAGCCCAAGAGAAAGAATTAGTGGGACTTTCTATCAGTAAGCTGGGCATGGTGGCTTGCACTTGTTATCCCAGCAATATAGGAGGCCATAGGCAGGTGAATTGTACGCGAAGCTGACTCCAGACAAAAACATGAGACCCTATCTAAAAATAACTAGTCCTGAAAGGCACCTACCTAGCAAATATGAAGCCTTGAGTTCAAACCTCAATAGTAAGGGGGAAAAATTTTTTTTTTATTTTTTTTTGTCATAGAATGTTTCATTTTAAACTTGATGTTAAAACTTTCAAATACCCAGGCACTGCTGGTTCATACCTGTAATCCTAGCTACTCAAGAGGCTGAAATCTGAAGATTGAGTTCAAAGCCAACCCAGGCAGGAAAGTCCATGAGACTCTTCCAATTAATCACCAGAAAGCCAGAAGTGATACTGTGGCTCAAAGTGGTAGAACACTAACCTTGAGCAAAAGAGCTCAGTGACAGCGCCCAGGCCCTGAGTTCAAGCCCCATGACCTACAAAAAACAAAATGAAACAAAAAAAACTTTCAAAATACAAGATATGTGGTAAGAAATAATAGTTAACACAGGATATCCTCCATAGTTCTACTTTTCTACATATGTGGTTTGTTAAAATTTAAATCTTACATTCATGTTATTACTAAAGGCAGCAGTGTCACTTTTCTACTTTGAAAAAGTGCTGTTAATGCTATGAAATTGCTTAAAATGACTATTTCTTCCTATTGGTATTCTCTCTACATTGGTGACATAATTCAGCATATTAGTAAGTTGTTGAGAGGTACTTAATCAACTCCCAACTTGAAGTTAAATTGAACTTCAACCTAAAGCAAACATTTTCATAAATCAGTATCTTAGCTTTTTAATGTTTGTCTACCAGAAACAGGGCTTGATCTCCAAGCTTTTTTTTCCTCACTGCTGATGCTCTTACCACTTGAGCCACAGCTTGAGTCCAGTATTTTGCTGGTTACTTGCAGATGGAATCTTGTGGACTTTCTTATTAAACTAGCTTTGAACCTCAGTCCTCCAATTCTCAACCTCCAGAGGAGCTAGGGGACTGTTAATTAGCATGTTAATTAGCTAGGGGTGTAGCTCAGTGGCAGAGTATTTTCCTGGCATGCATAAGCCTAGTTCCATTCTTAGCCTTACAAACAACAGCAACAATACCCAAATAATTAGCTTGAGTCAGAATTTAAAAAAAAAAAAAAGTCAAAAGCAAAGGAGTGCTAGCTCAGGCAGCTGTTTTTCTATATATATATATATATATATATATATATTTTTTTTTTTTTTTTTTTTTTTTTCTCTTCAGCAACATTTCATTGAAATATTGAGAAAGGCTCATGGGCTTCCTTAACTGTCTTTGGACTCAATAGAGGTTTGTAAAACTTCTCTTTAGGCCTCCCACTCATGTATTGATGTATTCCCCATCCTGCTGTCATGGGTAGAACCTGTGGAATACTTGAACAGGTAACAGGAAATTGAGGGCAAGACCAGGCCTGAAACCTTGGGCTAATTCTAAACCCATGATGAGTCCATCTGAGATAAGTCCTCTTGAGAATAACAGACCCTTCAGATGGTCTCAGAAGTCAGCAAGTTGTTGAAAAGGAGTTTTCCACAAAGTCTGTAATCTGTTATCCTGGGACACTTGAGAGCCTTAAAGGTGAGTATCTGGTTCACTCAAGGCTGCCTTGCTGAGCAGAGTTGCTGCTCCAAGGGCAAAGCAATAAAAGTAACCCAAGACCCTGCAAAGGGCACAAGATGTAATATACAGCAGCCTGACTGCTAAAGGTGGGGACCTGGAAGTAAAAGCAGAAGGACCCTATCTTGATTGTCACTAGGTTTCCAGAGCACTGGGCACTGCCTGCATGCATCCATGAGAAGCACTAGTGAGGCACTACAGCTGTTAGATTCTTTTTTTTTTCTTTGTCAGTCACAGGGCTTGAACTCTGGGCCTGGGCACTGTCCCTCAGCTCTTCAACTTAAGGCGAGTGCTCTACCACTTGAGCCACAGCACCAGAGTCTCACCGACTTTCCTGCTGGGGCTGGCTTTGAGCTGCAATCCTCAGATCTCAGCCTCCTGAGTAGCTAGGATTACAGGCATGAGCCACCAACACCTGGCAGCTATTGTATTCTTTAGGGAGAACTTCAAAATGAATCAAGGGAAAAACAGGAAATAGGAGAGACTTCCCAAGAGCAATGAAAAGGACCAGAGGTGTGGTTCCAGTGGTTCTAAGTTCAAACTACTGAATTGTAGTCATTGCACCTGTGTAGTAAACATATTAATCTTGCCCCTGAAATGGCTGGGCTTTCTCTTCAGCCTCTGACAGCTGCTCTCTAAGCAGTTATGGGTATCATTGATAGTGGTATCATTTGCCCAGAGACTGTGACCCACACCAGCAATGTGATTTAGAGTTTGGCCATGCCAAACAAACCATGTGGTATGTAAGATGTGGGATTTGGTCATGTTGGAGAGGCCAGAAACTGGGGACTAAGATCAGCCCTGTGAGCACTCAGTTCATCAATCATGTGCTTATGGTGGAACCCGGGTAAATATTCTGAGCTGGTAGAGTGCTTATCAGCAAGTGCAGGGGCCAGTACTGACTGTGCCCCTGATTGTAGCATCATCTGTCATTACACATCAGTGCCGTGAAAGTGACACCTCCTAGCCTCAGGAGGTTAATAGAAGCTCTGCATTTGAATCCTTCCTAAAGTTTATCTGTACAATTTCACTGTAGTGAACTCTGCAAGTCCTAGCAAATTATTTGACTTGAGAGTATTTTTGGAAACCCCAAACTTGTGATTAGTGTCAGGAATGAGGCAGTCTTGTGTGGCTAGTCTGCTTTAAACTTAGCAGCACCTTTTCAGTAGAACAAACATTTTTGGGAGGTGGTGAGGGTTCTCTTACATGCCTGTCTCTCTTTTGTCTTGTAGTGTTCCACTGGCAGGCCACCATCATGGGCCCGGTAGGTAGTACTGCTGAGGGTGCAGCTCAAATTTTGCTTCTTGGGCTTTATGCTTAGCACAAGCACTGATTTCTTCCTCTGTCTCATCCTTCCAGAATGAAAGTCCTTACCAAGGAGGCGTTTTCTTCCTGACCATCCACTTTCCTACTGATTACCCTTTCAAGCCCCCAAAGGTGAGGCTCCCCCACAAATTTCTTACTGTTTGGCTATAGGACAATGTGTAATGAAAGAGCCTCCTTAGAGAGAGATGAGTGCGACCCCTCCCCAGGGGCCTGTCACTTTCCTTCCATGTTATAGCCTCCTAGGACTTTCAACTTTGGACTTTCAGAATTATTTTTTTTATTTATTTTATTTATTTATTTTTTGCCTGTCCTCAGGCTTGAACTCAGGGCCTAGGCTCTATCCCTGAGCCTTTCTGTACTCAAGGCTAGTGCTCTTGAGCCACAGAGCTACTTCCAGCTTTTTCTGAGTAGTTTGTTGGAGATAAGAGTCTCATAGACTTTTCTGTCTGGGCTGGCTTAGAACTGCGATCCTCAGATCTCAGCCTCCTGGGTAGCTAGAATTATAGGCATGAGCCACCAGTACCTGGCTTAGCATTAATTCTTATTGTGGGCAGGCTGGTGTAGTAAACAGGCTTCTTACTGAATGAAGCCGTAGGCGGTTTTTTGGGTTGTTTTTCTGGAGACAAGGTCCTACTATGTAGCTCAGGCAGGTCTAGAACTTGTAATGCTTCTGTCTCTGCCTCCCAAGTGCTATGATTACAGATATACATCACTATGCATGTGTAAAGTCAGTTTCAAGGATCTTGTTCCAAGAAAATCTGGTATAAAAGAACTCACCCACTACCCAAGCATGGTCGATTAAGCCTATTATCCTAACTCCTTTTAATAGGGGGATTGCCATTTAAGGCCAGCCCTGGTATAAAAAATTTACAAGACTCAGCCAGGCACCAATGGCATACTCTGTAATTCTAGCTACTTAGGAGGCTGAAATCTGAGAATCATGGTTCAAAGCCAGCTCAGGCAGAAAAGTCTGTGAGACTCATCTCCAGTTAACGACCAAAAAGCTGGAAGTGGAACTGTAGCGTAAGTGGTAGGGTTCTAGACTTGTGAAAAGCTAAGCCTTACCCCCCCAAAAAGAACATTTGCAAGATTTCCATCTCAACCAACAGCTGGACACAATGGCATGTGCCTGCTATCCAGCAACCAAGAAATCCCAATGGCTAGGCTTAGTGATAAGGGCCTGTCAGCTCCAGTGACATGGGGGAAGCACAAGGAAGAGGATCACAGCCCATACAGTAGGACTCTACTTTGAAAATAACCAATATCAAAGGAGGCTTGAGGTAAAGCAACACGCATGAATCTCTGAGTTTCATCCCCAGTAACTGCAACATAAATAAATTCATAAATAACCACTCTTAAGTGAAGGTACCTAGTATCTACATAAGGAGGCAGAAAGATCCAGGATTACCCAGAGTGCAGTCTTCATTGGGGACTACAAACTGAAGCATGGTCAAGGGATACAGGATCTCTATGACTTCAGTCAGGAGGTTTATATAGTGATCAGGACAAAAATGGCTTTCACCCAAGCTGGTATGTACCTTGTTTATCTCCAGCTAACATCAAATACCAGAGGCAGATTTCTGCCACTGATACCAGGTTCCACAAAGTCTCACATACCTGTTTAATAGATTTTTTAAAATTTACATTGTTTTATCTTAAACTTTGTTGGGAAACTACTTGAGGAAAACAAATTGGAATTTCTCAGAGAAATCATACCAGCTACCACTCAAGATGGTAGCAGATCACTCTGGGTTCCTATGGTGCTCAAGATTCTAGTTTTCTTCATTGCAGTCCCTACTTAGAACTAAGAACAGGGATTCTCAGCTGGGGTGACATTGCTACTGCCCCAGAGACATTTGGACATCATCCTGGGGCATTCTGTTGCCACCACTGGGTAGGGGGTGGCTACTAATATCTAGAGAATGAAAGCCAAGCTGCTCCCCTCCCACAAGGGATTAGGTTGAAATAGTCTCTACTCCTGGGCCCTGGCAAATCAGTTAACTCTGTTATCCCGGTAGAAGGCATTCCTTTGCTTTTATTTCACACACACACACAACTCCCTTGGTAGAGCCCTAGAGAACAATACCACTTCTAGGAGGGAGAGTTCTGGGGACTGTCTAAACATTGGAGTGTCCTGCTAGAATATTCCATCAATAGGTCATTTTGCTTCTAGATATGGTACCTCACACCAGAGCTGCCAAAACTTATCTGGGCTCCATGTGCCAGATAGTGCCTGTCCTTCTGGGCTCACAGTATTCTGGAAGATACTGGGATGTTTAGCATGTGTGAATTTGTTGGTGCCAAGAAACACAAGCAGGGACTGGGAAGGTGGCTCAGTGGTAGAGTGCTTACTACCCTGGGTTCGGTTCCTCAGTATCACATAAAGAGAGAGAGGAAAAAAAAAGAAACACAAGCAGTGGCTGGCAGCAAGAGCTAGATGGCGAGGGACATTGCCCTGCTGAAGGGGACTATATAAGTTGAAGCAGGGAGGAGACACCAGGGAACTGCTTCAAGAGAGTAAGCATGTGTGCTCCAGGAATCCCTGAGGACGATAGAAGCCATTGTCCTCACTTTGAACATCACCCAGGATCAGGTGCTGGCAGAAATGATTCAAAAGGGCCTAAAGGCTGACAAGATCACTGCCACCATGTGAACAAGAAGCTAGGCAAGAGCCCCTGCCCAGTTGGTATATGGTAGCCGTTGATGTATTGAGACAGAGTCAACAAGATGGGCTAGCTGCTGTCAACTGTGATCACATAGCCTGTACATGGTTCACATCACTTTTAACTATTTTTTTTCCAATTGCAAAACTGGTTAAAAAATAAGTATTTTTAAATTAGAGAACTCATGCAGACTGAAACTAATGTGCTGTACAGGGAGAACCACAGTTAACAGCCTAGTATACATTCTCCTAGGGTTTTGATATATTTTTCCACCTATACCAACATGTTTTTTATTCACATTTTAAAAAATAAAGCCGGGTGCTGGTGGCTCACGCCTGTAATCCTAGCTACTCAGGAGTCTGAGATCTGAAGATCATAGTTCAAAGCCAGCCCAGGCAGGAAAGTCCATGAGACTCTAATCTCCAATAAAACACCAGAAAACCAGAAGTGGCTTAAGTGGTAAAGTGCTAGCTAGCCTTGAGCTGAAGAGGTGAGGGACAGCACCCAGTCCCAGAGTTTAAGCCCCACAACGAACAAAAATAAAAATACCAGCCAGGCATTAGGCTCATGTCTGTAATCCTAGATTAAAGGAGATCTGAAGATCATGATTCAAAGCCAGCCCTGGCAGGAAAGTCCAAGAGACTCTTTTTTTTTAATAAGTTTTTTATTGTGAAAATACTGTATAAGGGGTTACTTACTCCATGAGACTCTTATCTCCAATTAACCACCAGAAAACTGGAAGTGGCACTGTGGTTCAAGTGGTAGAGTGCTAACCTTGAGCTGAAGAGTTGAGGGACAGCACCCAGGCTCAGAGTTCAAGCCCCACAACCTACCAAAAAAAAAAAAAATTAGAAGAAGCTGGAAGTGGTGCTATGGCTAAGTGGTAGAGTGGTAGCCTTGAGCACAGAGAGGCTCAGGGACAGAGCCCAGGGCTCTGAGTTGTTGCCCCAGGACTGGCAAAAATAAAAAATGAAAATACCAATTCTGTTTGTAAATGAGGACAGTTCTGTTGTGTGCCTGTACACATTTTGACAAGACTTAGTCCTTTGGCTAGTCAGGTGTCAATCCCTAGATATAATGAGGCTGTGTTTTACCACCTGTGTTACTTCACCTATCCAAGCCAGTGTGAAGAGGCCCCTTCTGGCCCCCAGCTCTGGAGGCCAGACATCATAAGGCACCTGAGTATTTAAGGTCAAGGTTAAAATTGTTCAGTATTTTAAAGACCTTTCCAGCTTTTTGAGGGAGGGGAGGGGGGGCGGAGGGGTTGGTCATGGGGCCTGAACTCAGGGCCTGGGCACTGTCCCTCAGCTCTTCAGCTCAGGCTAGTACTATACCACTTGAGCCACATACCACTTCCGGCTTTTTCTGCTTTTGTGGTGCTGAGGAATTGAACCCAGGGCCTCATGCATGCAAGACAAGCACTCTACCACTGAGCCACCTTCCCAACCCCCCTTTCCAGCTTTTATCAAGGGAAGAGGTTCTTCAGGCAGGGCAGTAATGTGCTAAAATAGCTTTGTGAGATTGGAATCTTAACTGTGATTCAAGAAGGCTTGGCTGAGAAAATATTAGATGCTTCGTGGTTCTTCCCTTTCCTGGGGATTTTTTTTTTTTTTTTTTGGTCATTGGGCTTGAACTTGGCCTTGGCAGTCCCTGAGCATTTCAGCGCAAGGGGAGCACTCTACCATTTGAGCCACAGCACCACTTCCGGTTTTTAGGTGGTTAATTGGAGAGTCGCACCCCTCCTGCCTCAGCTGGCTTTGAACCATGATCCTCAGATCTCAGCCTCCAGAGTAGCTAGGATTACAGGTGTGAGCTACTGGCACAAGGCTGAGAAATTGTGTTTAAAGTAGCAATTTCCCAATCTGTGAGCAGCTGGCCATCTTTCTTAAACAGATCTTGAGGTCATCTTGAAGAGGTCCTATATATCTGGTGAGCATGTTTGAGATCCCTAATTGCCCAAGAACAAAACAAAGCAGTAACTATTATTAAAAGATTTAAAAAGTTCTGTGAGTAATCTGGGATTATTTTAGTGAGGAAAGATATAAACTGAAAGGTGACAGTAATACTTTCCAAGAACGTACTACTGTCTCTTTAAAAAAAAAAATCTTCCACTGGATGTTTTGGCATGAATTTTATGATCCTAGGAGAAATCTGGCAAGATTGTATGATCTTTATGGTGACATCAAGGCAGATATCTACTACAAAAGATTCTTCTGAAGTTTGATCCTTCTTGGGAAAAATATGTGGTAAATGATGTTCTGTCTCATATTCATATGCCTCTTCACCTCATATTCTCTAGTATGTTCTTTCTTTATTTTTTTATTTTTTATCAGTAATGGGGCTTGAACTCAGGGCATGGGTGCTGTCCCTAAACTTTTCCACTCAAGATTAGTGCTCTACCACTTTGAGCCACAGTGCCACTTCCAGATTTCTGGTGGTTAATTGGAGATAAGAGTCTTATAATAGACTTTCCTGCCTTGGCTAGCTTTGAACCATAATCCTCAGATCTCAGGCTTCTGAGTAGCTAGGATTACAGGTATGAGCCACCAGTGTCCAACCTATCCTTCCTTCCTTCTTTCCTTCCTCTCTTCCTCTCTCTCTCCTCCCCGCCCCCCCCCACTCTCTCAAGTGGGCTTTTATGCTCAAAGTTAGTGCTGTGCCATTTCAGCCACAGCTTCATTTTCAGCTTTATGGTTGTTAACTGGAGATGAGTCTCACCGACTTTCCTACCCTGGCTACCTTGGAACCATAATCCTCAGATCTCAGGCTCCTAAGTAGCTAGGATTATAGGGCATGAACCAGCTAGTATGTTTTTTGTTTTTTGTGGTTTGTTTGTCAGTCATGGGGCTTGAACTCTGGGCCTGGGCACTGTCCGTGAGCTCTTCAGCTCAAGGCTAGTGCCCTACCAATTAAGCCACGGCGTCACTTCCAGTTTTCTGGTGGTTGATTGGACATTAGAGTCTCACAGATTTTCTTGCCTGTACTGGCTTTGAACTGGGATCCTCAGATCTCAGCTTCCAGAGCAGCTAGGATTATAGGCATGAGCCACCAGTGCCCAGCTAGTACATTCTTTATAAAAAATAATTTAGGGAATGAGTTTGTAGCTCAGTGATAGAACACTTGTATAAATCCTTGAGTCCAATCCCCAGTGTTTAAAAAAACAAACAAACAAAGAAAAAACTAATATTAGCACTCAAGATGCTGAAACAGGAGGATCATGAGTTTTTAAAGCCAGTGTGGATGACATGGTGTGGCCCAGGTTATAGGCAACAACAGGAAGGATACCATGAACCACCCTTCAGGCAAAAAATTAGCAATAGATCCTCAGAGCCCAGGGAAAAGGGACAGAGTGGCTGCTACTGCATTGCCAAGCCTCTTCTGGCCAGTGGGGTGTGAGTTGAACTGAAGAGTCACACTCTTATCCTGCTCCTTTTGCAGTGAAAGCTGCACATGTCTGCACACCTTGCCTATGTCAAAGGGGGCTTATTCCACAGGCCCTTCATCAGCTCTGAGAGTGGCTTTGTTCCTGAGACCAAGGAGGTAATTTCAAAAAATGATTTGTGGTTATAATGCAACAGTAATAGGATACTATACAGTGAACATAAAACCTTCTTCATCCCAGAGGTGCCAAGTCCAGCTGCTTTTTATTTAGCTGAAACCAAAGTTTGAACTTGGTCTTATTCTTGCTCAGCCAGCATTCTACCACTCAAACCACACCTCTAACTGGCCTGGTGATTGTGTGTGTGTGTGTGTGTGTGTGTGTGTGTGCACACACACGTGTGTATGCGCACACACACGCACGCGCGCGCGCACACACACACACACCAGTTCTAAGGCTTGAACTCAGGAGCTAGACACTGTCCCTGAGCTGCTTTTTTTTTGGTCTGTCATGGGGCTTGAACTCTGGGCCTGGGCCTGTCCCTCAGCTCTTCAGCTCAAGGCTAGCATTCTACCACTTGAGCCACAGCACCACTTCCAGTTTTCTGGTGGTTTATTGGAGATAAGAGTCTCACGAACTTTCCTGCCCTGGCTGGCTTTGAACTGCAATCCTCAGATCTCAGCCTCCTGAGTAGCTAGGATTACAGGCATGAGCCACTGACACCTGGCTCCTAAACTTTTTTGCTCAATGCTAGCACTCTACCACTTGAGCCACAGCTCCACTTCTGGCTTTTTGGTAGTTAATTGAGATAAGAATCTCGAATCTCATGGACTTGCCTTCCAGGCTGGCTTTGAACTGTGATTCTCAGATATCAGCCTCCTGGCCTGATATTACATCTTATATCAACAAAATATCTATATTGTGTGTCTGTCCAAGGTCAATGATGGCTGACATTTTGTCCAAGCTACCTAGACTAAAATAAGTAGTCATACAAAAGGTGAGGAGTGAATTTCATCTGGTTGGTTTTTGTGGCGGCCCTGTTTCTTCATTGTATCCATACTTAATGTCACTGTTTTTTGCATAGACCTTTGGGCTTTCAAATTTTTTCTACAACTCTATTACTTTTCAGAGTCAACTCCTTTGAGGAGAGTAAGTATCAATCCCTCTGGGTTGAAAGTGAGAATCCAGCAAGATATGGGTGAGAGACTTCTGGGGCTCCCTTTCCTGTGTCCCTTTAGGTCTCAACCAGGACTCTGACACACACAGTGGTACTGTCTAGCAATGCTGACAATGATGCTTGTGCTTTACTTTGTTTTCCAGACATCTCTGTGACTTATCTAACTTGAGATCTCTTATCTCTGCAGGTTGCTTTCACGACCAAAATATATCACCCCAATATCAACAGCAATGGCAGCATATGCCTGGACATTCTGCGGTCGCAGTGGTCTCCAGCACTGACTGTGTCCAAAGGTAGAGACATTGACACATGCGCCACATGGCTTATGTCATGTGCATCTACTCCCTCACTAACCAGTGAACATAGAAGCTCAGGAAGAGCAGGCAGTTTCCCTGGCACCCACAGTCCTACCCAGTTCTGTGCCGGTATCCACATCATGTTCTCCATATCCACATCATGTCCCCATACCACAAGAAGCAAATCACTGGAACCCCTTCCCTTAGTGGTTTTTAGAAGTTGCTGTGTGATGCTCGAGTGTTAAATAGACCTGGTGCCAGTGGTTCACACCTATAATCTCAGGAGGCTGAGATGTGAGGATTGAGTTTAAAGCTTGAGAGATTCTTATTTCCAATTTAACCAGCAAAATGCCAGATTGGAGGTGAGGTTCAAGTAGTAGAACATGCCAACCATGTGTGAAAAAAAGCCAAGTAAGAGGACAAGTCCCTGAATTCAAGCCCTGGTACCAGCACCAAAAAAAGAAGATTGTCAAATGGGCATAAGGAAAAAAAAATATTGATTCTGCTTACACTTTTTACTTAAAACAGAGCAAAATATACTGCCTAATTTTCCTGTTCCAACAAGGACCAATGAGGACAATGTCTGGGCTCTAAGGAGGAAGCCTTCCCCTGTGGGGCCTCAGAGTCAGTGGAGAAACACTCCCCAAAATAAGTGATGTTGAACACACATAGGTAGATGAAATGGAAGAATCCAGTCTAGCAAGGTGTGGTGGTATACACCTCTATAATCATAGCACTTGGGAGGCTGAGGCAGGAGGATCATGAGGCCACCTTGAGGTATATAATATGTATAATACTAATATAATTTATACAGTATTTTGTACATACATAATAAGACTTTGTCTCAAAAAGAAAAGAAAAAGTTTAGTCTAAACCCAGGCTGGAATACCCATAGGTACTCTTTCAGTACCTGTACTCAGGTACTCAGGGGCTGAGAATGGGCTGGTGTGTGCCTGTGAGGCCTGACTATAGACAGCACAGTAACCTGGGTAGATGGATGGTTGAAAAATAAAAATAAAAAAATAAAGCCTCAAACAAGCAGAGTGGAACATGAGATAATGCAGATAGTAGAGCTTTAGCAGCAAGAAAAGGCCACAGTAAGTCCAGAGGGCAGAATCACCTCCCACCTCTGTACTGTAGTGCAGAGTCAGAGTGGATGCCACTGGGCTAATATCCGGGGAAGAGCTCAGCATTCTGCAAAGATCCCTTCTGAAATGAACCTCTAGCAGGAGTGGGCCTTTTGGATATTTATAACATCCTTTGTGGATCATACAAAACTACCAATAAAGGCAGGTGGCTGCTGACAAGTTCCATAAACCAAATTACTCCATGCCAATTGATTTCAAGGGTCTTATAGGGCCTGAGAGCCAGATGTTCCCCATTTCTGCCAGTGGGGTCTTACTCTACTGCCCAGGGCCCAGGAGAAATATGTGCAGGGAGGGATGCAGAGCTACCAGCTCTTGGGGGGAGGGGGAGGGGGAGGGGGACAGCGCGCATGGGGGAGGGACAGTGCTGTCTGAGGCTGAGTTAGCAGACTCACAGCCATTGTAAACTTAGGGCAGGAAGAGAAAAGAAGAGGAGCAGGAAGGGGCTCTTGAGTAAGGAAAGGGAGTTGGGCCTCAGTTGTTCTATGCTAGCTTCTGGCATCAGGATAGAAAAAGGCTGGTTATCTGAAGAAGAGGATTTGTTCCTCCTACCTGTAGTTCTTTGTGGGGAACTTTGGTCAGGACTTTAGTGGACTTACCAGAGCCAGTTTGGAGTCACGGTGGGTCCAGAGCAAACCATAGATGACAGTTTTCACAGTTACTTTTCACCATGCCCTAGTGAGTGAGTCCCTTTGTGCAAGGTCTCTAGGACTCACACTGAGGGCACATTCCAGAGAGTTATTATGAGAGAAGGAGGCACTGGTTTTGCAGACTTAGTTCAGAATCTCCTTCTAACTGGTTTGTTAGATGTTCGAATCTATGACCTTGGAAAATTACCTAAATGCTCTGAAATCCTGTTTCTTACCAGTACATGGAACTTTGAAACAAAACACTGAAAATAGGCAGTATGGGGCATAGACTGAAAGGGTGTCAGAGGGTAAGGCCACAGACACTTCCATGGTAAAGGCCAGGACTGACCAGAGGAGAGAAGTGTCATGCAGCAGTGTGACCATGGCCCTGTGAACTTCACAATGCAGACTGCAAACTCTTAACTAATATGTAGGCAAAACAAATACCGTCATGACTTCAACAACATCATTAGATTGGGGTGTTATGGGGAAGACAACTGCTCCATTAACATGAATGTAAGTTGGAGAGGTTCATGGGACCCAGTGGTGATCTGCAACCTCAAGGCCACAGCTGACTGATCCTTTCTTTTCTTCCTAGTTCTCTTGTCCATCTGCTCTCTGCTGTGCGACCCCAACCCTGATGATCCTCTGGTACCAGAAATAGCCCATACCTACAAGGCCGACCGAGAGAAGTATGCGTCCTCTTTGGGTTGCCCTTATCCTGTGGCTGCCTAGACTCCCATGGACATATTCCTGCCCTAGCTGAGTAACGCATTGTGTGTAGTGGCTGTACCCTGGGCTTAGCTTCCTGGCTGTCACTCACGTGTCCTTGGGCTCAGAGGAGGGAGAAGCAGATAAGCGCATTTACCCATCAGCAACCACTGCTGCTGGGCCCTAAAATACTATTGCCATGCTCTCCCCTGAGGCCAGCAAGAAAAGTGGTCAGCCAACAATGGACTCTGAAGAATCTGACAAGAAGGTTTCTGGGGGCTGGGAAGGTGGCTCAGTGGTAGAGCGCTTGCCTTGCATGCCTGATTTCTCAGCACCACATAAGCAAAAAGAAAAAAGCCGGAAGTGGCACTGTGGCTCAAGTGGTAGAGCACTAGCCTTGAGCTGAAGAGCTGAGGGACA